GTTCGAAACAGCTGACCAAAGTGAATTTTCTGGGGGAGTTCGTTTTGGCTCCTAAACACCTTTGAGCCTCCATTGGTCCGTGGCGATTACGCAATCGGTGGGTGTGTTCTGTAACTCCACCTTCTTTGACGTGAGATTTTTTTTTCCCGGTTCGCTTCTCATTTAACGGAGGTCAAGCAGAAGAACAACATCTCCAAGTCACTAGCAACATGAACACACTGGAGTGTCGAATAGCTGAGCTGCCACAAATATATCCGCACCTGTACGATCGCTCGCGGAGAGACTTTAAAGATTCAGAGAAAGCATTTAATTCCTAGAAAAAAATTGCGACGAAGCTTGGTATCGACGACCCAGAGTTATGCAAAAAGCGATGCAGAGAAACATCCGAGACAAGTTACAAGTTACAAGCCATGAAAAGAATGAAAGAAAAGAGTAAAGATATAAGGTAGCAAGTACCAAATGCATGTTTCAAATAAATGTTACACCATAACCAACTGCTGCTGCTGTTGTTCTTTCAATAAGCGAATTTAAAGGTATACAATAAATGAAATGCCAAAAAACATACATTTAGGGGTGCAACTGCACATTTGCCGAGGGGTATGCAAGATCAGTGTTGGCGCCTCCCTTTATTCTAGTAGCCTCTAACACTTACTCACGCAGAAAACATGACAAAAAGCCCATTACTAGTTTGTGCATGGAAGGATACAAACTCATCAGGAGTGAAAAAAGTGACAAAGGTTTGAACCCCCTTCCCCCTTTTTTAATACCATAGGGAAAAAAGTAAAAAAAAAAAAAAAAAGGGAAAAAAGTGTCCCATAACATCAAATGCATCCGGCCGGAATTTCTTAATTGCCCAAAATGTCCGGGATTCGGTTGTGTTCTTAATCCCGCTGAATCTCTGACCATTGCCGCCTGCTCCCGCAACATGTTTCGCTTCCTGTCTTTTTTTCTCGCAAATGCAAGTTTATATCTCCTAATTCGGACTTTATAACTCGACTTAACTCTAAAATAGTGAGTTTGTCAAATCTGAGGGGAAAAGAGAGAATGACGAGTTGTTTTTCCTTATTAGAATTGTGAGATATAATCTCGGAATTGCGAGAATAAAGTCAGAATTTTGAAATATAAAATCAAATTTACCTTTTTTTATTCCATGGCTCCATAGACTGCCACTTGAAAACCGTCATTTTCTGCCTCCAGATAGGCTCCGCCCACAAAAACCGTCATCCCTGTTTCGGATCTGTAAGACTATCCCACTCTCTAACGTCAATTTCGTTGAATAACAGTGCTTATCGCTGGGTGACAAGCTCTTGTAATATGCGGAGAACATTTTGAAAATGACATCTAATCAATATAATTTATAATCTTTTTAAACCTAACTATTTTGTACCCTATCCATGTAATTCTCTAGCCGTAAAGGCTATCTCTCCCGGGTTTTCTGCAACCATGATGCGCGCGCATCCTGAATGTTTACAAACCTATAATTGGTCTATAGTGTAAGTGTAAGAGCACAGGGGAGGAGTCGTGATAGTGTTCAGTGATTTAGTAGTTTGCAGTAATCATAATTCTGATACCTAGTCTAAAAAATAAGGTGGATAGGAATGCCACAGCATGACCAGAGTCTGAAGCATGTGTGCTGCACACCAAATCAGATCAGATGCAGTAGTCTGATAAAGTCATTCGCACGCCAGCATGTTCTACAAAAGGGCACCAAAACAATACATCATCAGCTTCAGGTTGTCTGATGTAAGACTTTGAAGGCATGCCTGGAGAAAAATGGCCTGAATGGGTTCACGAATCAATTTGAATGACGCGTTCAGTTCCCTGCATGCACTGAATCTTCTGGAATCTTCTAACGGAATATTTAAAAACACAAAGAACTTAGAGAGAATTGGAAGAAGTGGCCAAGAACCTACAGTCAGTTGAAACCAAATCTGCAAATGCATCCTGTTGTTTGGCATCGATGTAGATCTTTATTAGTTGAACACCTGCAGTCAGATTTGGTGTGCAGCACACATGCTTCAGACTCTGGTCATGCTGCGGCGTTCCTATCCACCTTATTTTTCCCGTAAGAGTGGGCAAATTTGTAAATTTAATGAGTCTGGCGTCCGGTGTCATCCGCTTCCAGCTATTTTTAGCTGTACAAAACAGTTCGTTCTGCTGCTTGATATTGCAAATAGGTGTGTCTTACCATATTATTTTAATGTATTATCTGTATTATCTTAATTATGAACACACTGGTTTGTAGTGCAAACAGTTTTACCGTTTACTGCACATTGTTATTCTTCTCGTTATTTCCCTACAGCAGCTAATGAACCGGAAGTCTCACACAATCACAAAGAAATGGCTTACTTCCGCGTTGAAAAATAAGGTAGATAGGTGCAGTAATTATGGTTAAATGCTATAATTTACTTATATATTATATGACATTACATGGTATTACTAAGTTTGTACACCCCGGTATAAACAATCATTGTGTAACATATCCCCCATTTGTACAACATATCATTTACTTGATCTGCCAATAATAGCAACCAGAACACTTACTGGAAACCAACATTATTGCACCGCTATGTGTATTTGGCTTGAGATCGAGTTGAGTAACTGTAATGAATCATCCACTGAAGGCGAGCGTAAGTGAGAACCCAAGTGCAGTTTTATTTACAGGTGATATCCAAACAAGAAACACAGACTTGACTTGAACAGACATAGCAGGAGCAGACTTGACATAAACAGACTAGACTCACCAACAGCGGGTCAAATACATTCAATACACGACCCGGGCACAATGGGAACATGAAGCTACTTATAGGAAACAAGAGGGTCACATGACAAGAACAAACCAATGGGAAACAAGACACATGACTAAGACAACCAATCAGAACATGACACAATGAACAGGGGAACCAATGGCATGAATACATGAGGGCAAGGGAAGCATGACACAAACAGGGACCATGAAACAATTACAAAATAAAAGACATGGAAAACATGAACATGAAACAAAACACCACATTACATATCCCCCCCTCTAAGGGCGGCTCCAGCATGTGTGCTGCACACCAAATCAGATCAGATGCAGTAGTCTGATAAAGTCATTCGCACGCCAGCATGTTCTACAAAAGGGCACCAAAACAATACATCATCAGCTTCAGGTTGTCTGATGTAAGACTTTGAAGGCATGCCTGGAGAAAAATGGCCTGAATGGGTTCACGAATCAATTTGAATGACGCGTTCAGTTCCCTGCATGCACTGAATCTTCTGGAATCTTCTAACGGAATATTTAAAAACACAAAGAACTTAGAGAGAATTGGAAGAAGTGGCCAAGAACCTACAGTCAGTTGAAACCAAATCTGCAAATGCATCCTGTTGTTTGGCATCGATGTAGATCTTTATTAGTTGAACACCTGCAGTCAGATTTGGTGTGCAGCACACATGCTTCAGACTCTGGTCATGCTGCGGCGTTCCTATCCACCTTATTTTTCCCGTAAGAGTGGGCAAATTTGTAAATTTAATGAGTCTGGCGTCCGGTGTCATCCGCTTCCAGCTATTTTTAGCTGTACAAAACAGTTCGTTCTGCTGCTTGATATTGCAAATAGGTGTGTCTTACCATATTATTTTAATGTATTATCTGTATTATCTTAATTATGAACACACTGGTTTGTAGTGCAAACAGTTTTACCGTTTACTGCACATTGTTATTCTTCTCGTTATTTCCCTACAGCAGCTAATGAACCGGAAGTCTCACACAATCACAAAGAAATGGCTTACTTCCGCGTTGAAAAATAAGGTAGATAGGTGCAGTAATTATGGTTAAATGCTATAATTTACTTATATATTATATGACATTACATGGTATTACTAAGTTTGTACACCCCGGTATAAACAATCATTGTGTAACATATCCCCCATTTGTACAACATATCATTTACTTGATCTGCCAATAATAGCAACCAGAACACTTACTGGAAACCAACATTATTGCACCGCTATGTGTATTTGGCTTGAGATCGAGTTGAGTAACTGTAATGAATCATCCACTGAAGGCGAGCGTAAGTGAGAACCCAAGTGCAGTTTTATTTACAGGTGATATCCAAACAGCCTCCGTGGCCGTAACAGGGCAGACAGTGAGTTTGTGAACGGCCTCCGTGGCAAGACAGTCTGTGAGTTTGTGAACAGCCTCTGTGGCCGTGACAGGGCAGGCAGTGAGTTTGGAAGCGGTCGCCACCACCTCAGGAGGTTCTGCAGCAGATGCCGCCACCTCTGGAGGTTCTGCAGCGGAAGCTACCACTTCTGGAGGCACAGGAAAGGCCCTTGGAGCGGACTCGTGAATAGGAGAGGCCTCTGGAGCGGACTCGTGGACGGGAGAGGACTCAGGAGTGCAGTGTGCAGCCCACACACTCAAAATGGCGACCGCCATTACAGGAAGGGCAGCAGATAGCAGGAGCAGACTTGACATAAACAGACTAGACTCACCAACAGCGGGTTAAATACATTCAATAGACGACGAGGGCACAATGGGAACATGAAGCTACTTATAGGAAACAAGAGGGTCACATGACAAGAACAAACCAATGGGAAACAAGACACATGACTAAGACAACCAATCAGAACATGACACAATGAACAGGGGAACCAATGGCATGAATACATGAGGGCAAGGGAAGCATGACACAAACAGGGACCATGAAACAATTACAAAATAAAAGACATGGAAAACATGAACATGAAACAAAACACCACATTACAGTAACATACTGCTCTCGTCACAAATAAAAGTGAATGTAAATGAGTTGATATTTCACCATTTTAAACAGACAGAATCTTGTTTATAATACAGAATTTCTTTAAATATTAAATAAAATTACTTATGACAATATAAGATTGCTTAATTACTTATTAATAAGGTTCTTATTAATAAGGTTCTTAATTTTTTTTAATAAAGTACTAATTACTTGTTTGTCTGTCACTTCCATCTAGAGTCAGTGGAGGAGATCAAACTGTTCAGATCATCATGGATAAAACACAAACGTCTGGAGATGAAGATTTGTTTCCAGGATGCAGGTACTTTGAGTAACACATTAACGCTCTGGTTTTGTTCATTTGGGAGTCACACTCATGTTGTTTGTGGTCAAAACTGACCAGAGACTATAATTATGAAGGTAAAATGATGCCTAAAAGATTTGCAAATGCAGGGTAAGAGTTGTGGAAGTGTACATAAGACTGTAAGCGTAAATTAAATTTGCATGCGCAAGAGAAGCTTTGTAAAGGTGTAAATCACGTTTCAAGCGTAAGAAAAAATGATCTGCAGCATTTTACTGTTACTCGTAAGTGTAATTCAAGTGTTGTGAAACTGCAGCTTCATGCTAACGCAAAATAAATATGATCTGCATTCTTCTGACTTCCATTTTTCCACGCTTACACTTTTGGCACGTTGCTTTCGCTAAAATACGGTCAAAAGCACTGCAAGTCTTGGAATATTAAAAGGCTAGGACATGTGATTAAGAGAGAAAAAATATCAAAAAGGAGAACTCTACTACCACCATACTTCAGGAGGTGCACTTATCAGATACCAAACATTTAAAATTGAAGAGAGACTGGGTTGGGCAAATATTTTTTTCTTCTTGTAAATCTAACAAGAAAGAGGAACACCTTATTACTTACATCTTAATTAGTTCACATTTACCTTTTATTTTAGAACATCAAATTAATGACCCAGATGTAAGGTAAGTTTTAATTAATGGCACAGTATATGGGCAACCTATTACTGTACTTCATGTTCATGCTCCAATTGAGGACTCTCCTAAATTTATATCTAAAGTTATTCTAAAGATATTAAATAAATTGCGTAGAGGTATGGGTGTTTGGTGATGAGTTTTTGGTTCAAGGTCTGCATTTAAAGTCACACCAGAGGTGTTCAGCTGGGATTAGGACTTGGCTTTATGAAGACCAGTCAAGTTCTTCCACACTGACTGAATCAATCATTTCATTTTGAACCTTGCCTTATACACAGAGGCATTGTCATGTTAGAATAGAAAAGGGTCCTGTCCAAACTGTTGCTGTAAAATTAGAAGCACACAATTTCCTAGAATATCATTATATGCTTAAACATTAAAGGGATAGTTCACCCAAAAATTTAAATTTGATGTTTATCTGCTTACCCCCAGGGCATCCAAGATGTAGGTGACTTTGTTTCTTCAGTAGAACACAAATTATGATTTTTAACTCCAACCGTTGCAGTCTATCAGTCGTATAATGCATGGCAATGGTAACAAAATCTATGAGAGTAAAAAAAACATGCACAGACAAATCCAAATTAAACCCTACGGCTCGTGACGACACATTGATGTCCTAACACACGAAACGATCGGTTTGTGTCAGAAACCGAACAGTATTTATATCATATGTCCAACTGTCTTTGAGCGAGCGCACGGCATCCGGTGCGTGAGGCGTGTACGCGCTCTGG